TCCCGAATTAATTTTTTATATACGGTCCCTGTGAAATAGCATTATTGCGGCTTATTTATAGTTAATTTTCTTTCTGATACTGCAGATATCTGGCAACACCATTTTTCCAATTTTCTCTTTACAAACCTTCTACAGACAGAAATACACAAAATGAAATAAAAACGAAGCAAATCCGTTGAGCCATTCTTTAGCAATGCGATAACACATGAAAGCAATCCATTTTTATATATAAACTTTTTTCGAAAGGTGGCAACCCTATCCAAATTTTTTCCGAATAAATTTTTTTTTATACGTTCTCAATAAAATTGCATTATTGCGGGTTATTTATAATTAATTTTTTTTCCGATATTGCAGATATCTGGCAACACCATTTTTCCAATTTTCTCTTTACAAACCTTCTACTGACAGATAGACACAAAATAAAATAAAAACGAAGCAAATCCGTTGAGCCGTTCTTGAGTAATGCGTACGGTAACCATATTAACCAACGTAAATAAAGGACTTTTTTTCAAAATGATTTGGGAATACGTACATACAACTTGTATGATAAAAGTTTCTTACCCATATCGTAATTTAATTCAAATATTTACCAGTTAATTGACCGATTCCGAAAAATGAAGCCAAATCCTTTTCAAGGACTTCGCCATCCTTTGCTACCAAAATGCGTTTACCATAATTCATACTGCACGCCGAAGTCAGCCCACAGTGGTTCTACATTGGAATTTAATGTTCATAATTCACCGTAGTCTTAATTTTTCAACTAATTTTTACTAAAAACCAAAAAAAAAAACTATTTTGGTGAACATTTTTTTATAACATTTCAAAAATTTTGTTTTGTAATTTTTTCGTTTTGGACAACCATACAATTGTTTTCAACTAGTCTTTGTTATGTAACATTTATTAACTGGAACAGGAGAATAAATTTTCTTCAAAATTGCCACTTTTTCTGCATTTTGCATAAGAAAATTTAATATAATCAAATAAAAATTCACAAATCAGCCTCAACTGGTCTCTTGCAAATATTATAAGCTTTCATAAAAAAAAGATTAAATTAAGTGAAAAAATGAAGACTATAGTGAATTACGAACACTAAATGCCAGTTTTGAACCACTGTGCATTATTTATGGGATTTATTGTTCTCTTTCAGTGGAGCTGGAAACTCAGTTTGTGCTTTATAGATTGTGCAAAGATTACCTATTAAATAAAAACCCTTAAGTGGGGTGCGAAACGAACTGGCGAAGGTTTTCATTATATTTTATAAGGGACATTTTCATTTTTCATATTCTGTGTTTAAAAATTTACCTCAGAAAAATGCAGAGCTGATTTAAAGGACAGTTTAAGAAATAGAGTACAAAAAGCGTCCTTTATTTTGAAACCCCTGTGGGTTAAAATAAAATAATGTCCTTTAAAATAAAGGACGGATGGTCACCGTAGTANGGCCGAAAATTTAAAAAATCGGACAATAACCACGCCCACATCCCATATAACGGTAATTTTCGTAAATACGAAAACTGCGATATTTTAGTAACTACTGAAAATTATTCACTCAAAATTGATATTTACAAAAATTTTTAGGCGAAAAATAAGAATATTATACATTTTTGGAAAATGGGCGTAGCCACGCCCACTTATGGTTACATGTGTATATCTTGGTTACCGCTGCACCGATTTCATCCAAACTTGGCACAGTGTTTGGCCTTGGTACAGCATACCAAAAGGCCGAAAATTTTTAAAATCGGACAATAACCACGCCCACAGTCCACAGGGCAATTTAGAGAAATACGAAATCTTCGATAAATCAGTAAATATTAAAGCTAATTTATTTAAAATTGACGTTTGCAACAACTATTTACCAAGAAATACGTTTATGGTAATATTTTGGAAAATGGGCGTGGCACCGCCCACTTATGATCACATATATGTATTTCGGTAACCGTTCTACCAATTTGTACCAAACTCGGTATAGTTATTGTGCTTGCCACATAAAAGCAAAGCGTTGAAAATTATTGAAATTGGACTAAAATTACGTCCGCTTTTCATATAACGGTAAATTTCAGAAATGGTTGAAACTTCAATATTTCGAAATTTAAGGACGCTAATTTACTCAAAATTGATACACCCCGGCTTAACATGTAGCGGTAGCTTTCGGAAAGGTGAAAAATATATATGTATTTAATACTTGCGCCGGGTATTTAATGTTCGGCTCCGCCCGAACTTAGACTTTCTTACTTGTTATATATAAAGATTAGGGATAGTTGGGGCCGTCTGCTATATGTTCATCCCAAACTATTTCATCTAGGCGCCAACAGTTTTTTAATATTTTTTGATTTTATACGAAATTGGTCATTTCCAAAACTTCAGTTTTCTCATTTTTAAATAAAGTTATTCCGGCTTAAATTTTTGGAAATTTCGGACGCCATATGGGATTTTGCATTTTTAATTTTCAAAAACTGGTCTGAAATTTGTAATAAGCGAAGTTAAGAACCTCTAAGTACCAAATTTCATGAAAATTCAGTAATTTTTAAATTCTTGGACGCCATATTGGATTTGCTACTTTGGATTTTTGAAAGTTGATTTCAGGTTTGTTAAGATACATATTATAAATTATATGGTGCTAATTCTTATTAACATTATTTGAAGCAACTGCCAAAGTTGGTCTAGTGAATTAAAAATGGCCGCCACTCTTTAGAGTCCGACCGATTTCAATGTTTTTTCAGTACCGATACCGATGCCGGGAAAGAATCGGCCGATGCCGATTCCATAAAAATTTACAACTAAATGTATTAATTCATAAAATCAGTTAATTTAACTGGGTTAACAAAACAAAAGAAAACAAATAATTGAATTAATTGGCTTGTTATGCAACATTACATACACATGTATGTACATTAGGGTGGTCCAAAAATGTATGTGAAAAAGTAAAGTCGGAATTTTTATGCTCTCACTCCCTAAGATTGTTCTATGTCGAAGAAAAATATACCCCTATTTTTTTATTTTGAAGTAAAAAAATATTTAGAGGTCGCTCAAAGCGCTCGAAGTTTTCCATGTATTTTATATGGGGATAAAACAAATTTTCGTAGAAATAGTATGGAATTCTTGAAAATCAATATTTTTCGATCGAAACACTTTGTTTTTCTTCAGGAGATTCAAAATAATAATACCCAATTATTTATTTAACCTTTTTTTCGGTATAGAACAATTCTAGGGGGTGAAAGCATTAAAATTCCGACTTTACTTTTTCACATGAATTTTTGGACCACGCTAATGTACATACATATAGCGGTCCACAAAATAAAATAATTGCGATATTTGGACCGGTTTTGGCATTTGACATTTGTCTTTTGTTTATTTAATGTTTATTATGCTTTTTATAAAAGTCTAGCTGGTATACAACAAACACCATATAAATTCAGATTTCAAACTATGTACAGAAATTAGAAAAATTTCGCTTATTTTCACCAAAATTTCAAACTTTTTAATCAGAATTTTGGTATGCAGTTTTGTGGACCATTTAATTCTAGTATAATGAGCTGCAAGTTTCAAGTTGCTATAAAATCCGGTTAATTTTTGGCATTTTTTTTTGCTGGCAGTGTCCTCCATATAAAAGTAAATTGTCGAACATACTTTTGTATGGAAAAAACGTAAAACACCTTCAACAAAAAAAAATGCATTTTGTGAGCTGTCTGCAAATGTTTTTTGGTGTTGGCTGTTGTCTGTCGCTTCACCTGAATATATGAAAAGAAATTCAAAATAATCGGCGAAAAAGGCCGATGCCGATGCTCAATTTTGTACCGATACTAGCCAATGCCGATGCCGATGCCGATTAATCGGTCGCACTCAACTCTTTTTGGCGCCAGTATGCGCGGCTTTTCTTTTCGTAGATCCTTAAAAGGCCCTTTGCATTAGTTTTTGGTAAAGGAATGAAGATCCTGTTCCGCCCTACTAATTAGTTATACATGACTTCATAACATTCATTGAGAAGCGCGCAACCAATTTGCTGCAGGCGGCTTCTAATGTAACAACGACGTCAACCGGCAACACGGTCTGTCAAGGCACATGTAGCAGCCGTTAATTCAACTCAAGCTTCCCGTTCAAAGAAGGCGGCCAGTATTTCTTGCCCATTGTGCGCAAGTTCACAACGCCTTCACAAATGTGAGCGATTCCTCAACCTTTCGGTAACAGAGCGCTGGGACACCGTAAAGCAGCCCTCACTGTGCTTCAATTGCCTCAACGTCGACCATTGGGCGCGAGATTGCCCGTCGCGGGATTGTATACGCTACCATCACCGGCACCACACACTTTTCTGCAGAGAAGCAGTCAGTGCACCAGCAGCCGAGGCAACGAACACAACAGCAGTGCCGACTCATAACGCTAAGCCACGTATATCTGTGGAGCATACGCCGCAGGTATACTCACAACAGCAATGACAGTCAGAGACGGTTCGGTCGTTTCTAGTCCATGGTGACCGGACCGTTTTACTAGCCACAGAAAAGGTTCGTCTTGTGGATCATAATGGACAACAACACAGTTGTCGTGAGCTTAATCACTGATTCTTTAACAAAACGTATGGGTCTCCGTAGAAAACCAGATGAGGTCCGAATCGAAGGCATTGGTTCCAGCACCGCGGTCCACACCAGAGGCAATGTGACTGTTAAGATGCAAGCTACAATTGATAGCAACACTGAGGCGTATGTTGTGCCGACGATAACTTCAACTACACCAAGCGCAACGATCGATCCGGCAGCCTGGACTCATTTTCAGGATTTGCCGCTAGCGGACCCAATGTTTGGTAGCCCGGGTCGGGTGGATTTGCTTCTCGGTGCTGAGGTGTTTAAGGATCTCTTGCTGGAAGGCAAGAACAGCCTTGCGCCTTGAATACACGGCTTGGTTGGGTAGTGTTTGGGCCAGCTCATGGTAGTTCAACACCATCCGACTCGACAAACTACTTCGAAGCTTCTGGGAAGTCGAAGAGCCAGCCGTTGTATCAGAAACTCGAGAAGATGATTGTGAAAGCGTATTCACCAACACATTTACCCGCGCAACGGATCATATTTAAACCAGATGCACCCTCCATTGGCGATTCATACCAATCTGCAGTACGTCAGTTTCTACAACTGGAACGCGATCAATATACGGCTTTCATGAGGGAGTACATAGCTCTTGGCCATATGGAGGCTAGCGAGGAGTTAATTACGGACGCTCATCCTGGTTACTTTATTCCGCATCATGCTGTTACTGCCAAATTTCGGGTTGTGTTTAATGCCTCTGCAAAGACATCGAATGGCGTATCACTGATCGACGTGCAATTCTCGGGCCCACAACTATACCCAAACTTGGTCGACATTCTTCACCGTTTTCGCGAATTCAGCGTAGCCATCACTGCAGACGTGAAGAAGATGTTCCGTCAAGTCTTGGTCGCCCAACGTCATAGAAAATTGCAAAAATTTCTTTGGTGTGAGTCTTCACACGTTCCTCTACAAACATACGAATTGAAGAAGGTAACGTATGGAATGGCGTGTAGTAAACGCGTTACGGGCACTGCGTCAATGTGCGCATGACAATTGTAAGGCCATCAGTGAACCCAGCCGGGCTGCCGCAGCGCAACATAGCATCCTTTACAATTTTTACGTGGTTGACTATCTGGACAGTGTCGATACGTCCGAACTAGCAATCACGCGAGCGCAAGATGTGGAGACCATCTTGAAGCAAGGTCAATTTGTGTTGGGGAAAATGGAACTCCAACTGCTCACACACGCTTGCTACCATCACTGGTACGACAATGTCTGCATCCGAACTGGAGTTTAACGATTCAGCGACGAAGGTACTAGGTTTGCATTTGAATCCGTTGCATGACGAGCTCTTCTTCAAGGTTCCGGAGTTCGATGAGTCAGCGATGCCTACCAAACGGACCGTGCTTAGCGACGTAGCGAGATTGTAGGATCCGGCGGGCCTATTGGTACCAGTTGTCATTGTGGCAAAACTCTTTATTCAGGATCTGTGGAAAGCAGGATTGCAGTGGGATTCACCACTGCCACCGGACCTGCTCAATGATTGGTCAATATTCCGCAACGGGTTAGCTGACATTTCACGACTTCGTGTTCCACGTTGCCTAGGCATGCGTGCAGATTCGAAGGTGAGGCTCCATGGTTTCTGTGATGAAGGCATATGCAGCTGCGGTGTATGTCCAAACAGTGGACCACAATGGTAATTCAGGTGCATTTCTGCTTGCTGCAAAGACGAAGGTCGCTCTGGTCAAGGAAGTGACCATACCACGCCTTGAGCTATGTAGTGCCCACCTACTTACAATCACGATGAACCACGTCCAAGATGTCCCTTGCATATATTGGTGCGATTCAACTGTTGTATTATGCATTATCCGCAAGGCACCTTCAGCTTTCAAACAGTACGTTTCGAATCGAGTCGCTTTCATCCAGGTCAATGTCAATGTCATGTAAATTCCTGGAACCATATCCGATCGGCGCTTAATCCGGCGCTCAATCCGCCATCTGGTCTAGAAAGTCATCGGACCGACGGCCGGACCGAGATGCATCCACCAACACACTACCGTAGAATCGGAACCAGGCACGATGACGGAGGAATATCAGCACATTTTTAGATCCGAATCTCGCCCTTTGTATACGCTAGTATCTCGTGTTGACTGCCAGTGGCTCATGACATCAGTTGACGGTAATCGTGTACTTCTCATAGAGAGGTTTAGCACGTTGGAACGTCTTCTCAACACCAAGGCGCGCCTTAGACGCATACTACCGTTATTTCGTGGCAACAAAGGGATTGTGGCCTCCGCCGAAGAGCAAAACTGGGCGCTGGTCTTCCACATTCGTCAGGCACAAGGTAATATTTTCCAACAGGAAATTAAAGCACTTGTATCTAATTCCAAAATTGAGGGTCGCAGTCCAGTTCTGCCCCTAAACCTGTTTCTGGATGAAGATGGAGTATTGAGAGTAGGGGACCCGACTAACCAACGCGAACATGAGTAACGATCAACGACATCAAATCATAGTCCCACGCGGCACCCTAGCAAATTTAATGGTCGCAGATGCACATAAGCGTTGCCTTTATGGTGGCATACAGCAGATGCTCCAGTTTTTTCCACAACGCTTTTGGCTCATATGTGCGCAGGCCCAGGTAAAATCTTACATCTGGAGGTCCACCATATGTCGAAGACATCTGCAAATTACGCAGCGTCAACAGATGGCGTCGTTACCAAAGGAACGTGTCCTTGTTGTACCACCATTTTACCGCAGTGGCTTAGATTACTGTGGCCCCTTCCATGTTCGAGTTGGCAGCAAGCGCTAAGCAGTTACGACAAAAACTTATGCAGCCATTTTTGTGTGGCATCGCGTTTATTTCATATTGAGCTGGCAGAGGACTTGAGTACACAAGCATTTATAAACGTGTATGACCGCTTCGTGAGTCGACGAGGTATCTGCGCTACCTTATACAGCGATAATGGTACTCAGTTCATTGGTACGAATCGACAAATGCAGGAGGATTTACAGCAGACCTGGGCGGCGCCTGGCCGGAAGGCATATGCGCGTATATATACACGCTCTGCTTTAGAAGGCAGCGAAAGCTTCATTCAACCGCACGACTTGTTCGCACGCACACAGTGACATCAATTGCTTGCACACTACAAAAATTCTCTGTCGAAGCTGCCCACCTCTGATTTACAGTCATGGGTGAACGTGTATGCACAGCAACACCTGGTGGCTGTAGAAAGCCACTGGAAGTTTATTACACCACGTCACCTCCTCACGGTGGCCTTTGGGAAGCAGCGGTGCGTTCTACCAAAAAGCATCTATTGCGAGTCATGGGTCGTCAAACAATGTGCTTCCCCGAGCTTTGCACTCTTTCTCTTCAACTCTTCAACGAATGCTGGAGCACTTTTGGCGTCGTTGGCAAAGCGAATACATAAATACCCTTCAGTCTCGCAGTAAATGGACTATACCGGAGCCAAACATTCAGCGCAACGACGTCGTCCTCATCGGGAATGAGAATCTCCCCCAAACATTTTGGCGCATAGGAAGGGTCATTGACGTGCATCCAGAAATTATGACGATTAACAGGCCCATCTGAAGAACTACTAAACCGCACGGGTTCAGCCGGGCAGGATGTTCAAGAGTTACAGTAAGGGATTGGTCAAATGCAACGTTGGGCATCGTTAGTACAGGAACATACCTACATTCAGCTCTGCTCATCAACAACCGCTGAATGCACCAATACAAACAACATTAGTTCGTTTTTGCAATGTCATCGCTTAACATACATATTATGCGTATTATTATTGTTCTCGCTCTAGCGTTAGAAGTTTTTATAGCTGATGTACTTACGTATGTATTTTGCTCATATACTTCTGTATGTATATAAAGAGTCTCTGGCGAACTTACGAAGACACTTACTCGACTTATTTTTTACGTGGTTTTCTACTTTGCCGAACTGATTTCCATACATGTACAATTTGGCAGGTATAGAGTGGTGTTGTTCGGAAATTCTTTTATTGAGCTGAACTCAAATTTCTAAATAACATCACTCTGTGCTTGCCAAAATGTACAAATCTGTACAAATTTACAAATCGTGTGATCTTCGCTTTTGAACGTGCCACGATCGAATTCGTCGAACTAAACGGATTCAACGGCGTGCTCAGCAGATGTTATTGAAAATACTAATCAGTTTTGAGTTCGTTAGACATTATTGAATAAGAACTGCTTTATTCCGGTTAATTTGTCACAGTTTTAAAATATGCCTTTTTCGCGTAAAACATGGCTTCTCCGACCACTGTGTGGCGTTTAAATGTTCTGGACTATTTCAGGTTTTTCAGAGAATTTTTTTTTTTTCAATCAACTCTTTGTACCCTACTCTTTTTCTTCTTTGTTTATTTTCTTCAATAACAGAGCTGGACTCCGACTGCCCTTAGTATTTTCCGCTAGTCTTTTCAGCGTAAGTATTTCCTTGCATTTTTTAGATTTTATTTTGACTATATCTACGGGCCATTGTGATTTAATAAACTAAATTATCATTTAGGGCCGTTTGCACCACGTCTACTAGCTAACGCTAACTGGAGGTACATCCTTCATTTAGGGCCGTTTTCACCATCTCTGGTTAACACTAATCTCCAGTTAAACATCGTTACCGACGTTACTGGCTCCATACACATAACATTGTGTCGATAACGTCGGTAACGATTGTTTAACTGGAGATTAGTGTTAACCAGAGATGGTGAAAACGGCCCTTAAACACATCGACTGCTTTATCGATCACATGTTAATTGGGTGCAGTGTTGTCAACCTATTTCATAGCTCAAAGAAGTGCAGGAACTGGAGACCAAAAATAGTATGAAAGTAATGAGAAAATGGTAAAAGCAGAATATACAAAAATTTTAACAGTGTACCAATTCAATCAATAAATTTTCTTAATTAAAAATCTATACTATATATTATTCTAAGGCAAGGCGCTTATTCCCAGCTATGTAATAATCGTACAAGTCATGTATCAAATTAAAGTGCTCGATCTGATACTTTGCACAAAGATTTCAGGTTTAAGAATCATTTGACCACTTTTGCAATATCTGCATGGAAAAATGTTTAAAGTTTTACATTGAACAAAGCATTGCTACGTTCATTTCAATAGGCAGCAACTATGGAGCGCTCTGAATATGGACTAGAAAAGGACGCCCGCAGCAACTCCTCGACTGAGAGTTTTCGGAGCGCTCCGAATATGAGACGTTCTTTTTCATATCGGACACCAAATTTGGTGTCACACTTTCGATTGGCTTCAAATTTTTGTATGGGTTCTATATATGAAATAAGCTAACACGTGTGCGAGGAGATTTTTTTTCGCTTTTTTCTTTGGAGATCTGTCAAAGTTTGAATTTTTTCGTGATTCTGACTAATCATGTACTTCTTCAAATCATTATATCTCGGGTTATGCTCATCGTAGAGACTTCATTTTAACGTCCGTGTTGAAGCTAAAGAAACAGGCTTAATATTTATATATATAAGATGGTCAAGATTTTCCTAAAGCTAACTTAGCTAATAACAGTTGAACTTTTTGAATTTGATTTGCATAGCGAAGTAAATTAGTGATTTAAAATTATACCATCGTAATCCTTCTTTAATTCTCTATAAAAACGGGGGTTCAAAAAAATGGCGGTTTTTCAAGAACTATTTTTAAATTATTTTTCTTTATGACGAGATGGTTTATTTTGTGAGAATCAACAATTTTTTTGTAATTTGTTTTCGAAAACTTATGTTGAGATGTAATTAGTAAGGTGTTAGCATCGAGTTTTTGCAAAAATTTAAATTTAATTGCAGATTCCGATAGAATACCTATCCAGGTATAATATTTGTACGGCAAATTTATCTTTAAGGCGACAAACCCCTAGAAATGGGCGTGTCAATTGTCGGACTAAAGTTTGCAAAACGCAGATTTTATTGCAGATTTCGGCAGAATATCGCTTCGTTAACATTTGTTCCACAACTTTTTCAATCAAAGAATATTCTAGAAATGGGCGTGGCTATATTAAAACCAAAGTTCAAAA